AGCAGTACGTGGTGGAGTGGACGGCGCAGGCCGCGCGCGCCCCGCAGGCGCCCCCCAGCTGGCTGCGCGTCCCCGCCTCCAGCACGTCCGCTGTCATCTCAGGTACCGTTGTCACCCTGCGCCCAGGGGGTCCCAAGGTCTTGTTCCCTCTGGGTCTTGCGGGCCCGGGACCCAGAGCCTGGCTTCAGTTACCCGGCAGACACAGCCGGTGAGCCGCGGGTGGACAGCGATGTCCTAGAGCCCACCCCCGCAGCACCACTGGCTGTGTGGAGCCCGCCACACACACAGGGGTCCTGAGTGCCCATCCTGGCCCTGCAGAAGGAAAAACCGAAAAAGCCTGCTGTGGCCGCACACCCCTGTAATCCCAGGACTCCGGAGGCTGAGACAGGAGGATCACTGCATGTTTGAGGCCAGCCTGTATGGACTACATAGTGAGTTCAGGCCCAGCCTAGACTACATAGTGAGACCCTGTCTCAAAAAACACAAACCAAAACAGAGGTAGTAGCACAGAACACACTACCTCAGCCACTGGGCAATCCTCCTGCCTCAGCCTCCTGAATGCTGGGATGGCGGGGGTGCAACACCACACCCAGCTAAATTGCTCAACTGTTGTGCCTCAGCGTCCCTGCCTGAAAAATGAGGATAATGTCATCGTGTTATTCTGATGACTCAGTAATATGCTGAAAATGCCTTAAACGTTGCTGGCGGTATTTTAAGCACCTGGTGGTTTAGCGATCGTATGGTTACTGTGCCCCTCCTGGGAGCTGAGTTTGACGGGCTTCCCAGCTCCTTGTCCTAACAGTGTCCTGACCGGGCGAGACCAGCACAGCAGGAAGGTGTCCCGAGGGTAAGGAGGCCCCCGCTGCACAGCAGCACGGAGCTCACAGATGGGACCCCGAGTGCTCGGTCGCCGTCAGGAGCCCAGGCCCTAGCAGGTCCCGTCCTAACCATGCCCTCAAAGCACACGCTGCCCGTGCAGCCCAGGGTGCCGGCTCAGGGCTGTCACGCAATGCAGGGGGCCGGAACTGCTCCCCCAGAAATCCTTTAGCCGGTAGCAGGGAATTCCAGATGGAGGAGGCGGGGAGGCCAGGTGGCCGTCGTTTGTTCAGGTCCAAATACGCAAAGTGAGCAGACACCAGTGCTCCCAGCCACCGAGGAGGCTGAGGCATAGTGAGACTTTGTTTCAAAAACAGCGAAAAGGCGACCCCCGCCCACGCGTTCCCTCGTTGCCGCGGAGAGCGAGGTAAGGCGGGTGCCGATTTTGAGAAGCAACTTGGATGGCCTCTGACAGCACAGTGGGTGCAGTTCCCCCGGGCTGTCGCCCGGTCCCGGCAGACCCGCAGCGGAGGGGAACGGCGCTCCCTGAACTGAACCGCTAGAGCAGTGTCGGACACCAGGAGCAGAAGACAAGGGAGGCTTTTCCCACACTGAGATAAAATATCTTAAAGTCACTTAGAATCATGCCTTTGAGTAAAATCGATATGCAAACAAGTAGAATTAACTTGACAGCAGTGTGTGTCTGCTTAGAAACACTCGGCCAGCTATCAGCTTAAATTCCTGGGCTGCTTCCTCCTGGAAATACTGGAAAAGGAAGTCATACCTGCTCGCCAGGAATTCAGCCGGCCATCTTCAGCCGCCAGCCGGGGGCGGGGCCTTGGGAGGGGCGGGACGTGCACCGCCCCTCTCCCTCCCCCCGGGCCCTCCCCTCCGCTCCCTGGCCGCAGGAAGGCCAGCAGCTTTCTCTCCGCTGTGCCCTGTGCCACGTCCTTGTGCCTTGGCGCCAGCTGACTGGGCTAAACCCTGAGGCCCACCAGACCGCTCCTCGTTGAAGCTGGGGGTGCGGGTATTGTGTCTCTGCCGCACAGGGGCTGCTGCCCACATTCACCAGGAGAGGCCCCGCCCTGGGGGACCCAGGCTGAGGCTGCTGCAGGACCCGAGTGCCCTCGGGACTCCTGGACGTCCGCCGGGCACGGAGCTGGGCTGGCTGCCGCCGCGCCCAGGCAGACAGCAGGCCTAGGTGCAGAGGGCTGGCACCAGGCCGTCCAGAGTCTGGTCTGTGCTGCCCTCCCGGGTCTGGGCCTGGATTCCCTCCCCGAGCATCCGCGGTGCCCAGGCCAGACGGCTGACTGGTCCCACCCTTTCCCCTGGGGCGGGAACTCGGCAGGAACTCGTGCCCTGCCTGCGATCCCATCTTGTTGCTGGACTGGCTGCCTGAGGAGCTTTGGGTACTGCCTGCCTGCTGGAGCATGACAGGGCAGCACGTTTTCATGTAGAACACAACTTAGTAATTTGTTCTGTGATGTGGATTCCTGGGCAGGGGTGGAGAGCGCAACTGAGCGCTTACTTAGCGTGCCCGAGGCCCTGGGTTTCATCCCCAGCCCTGGAGAAAATCCCTCAGAGGCAGATTTTGAACCCTGATCAACGAGGCCGTCAACATCCGGGCCAGCGACCAACCTGCGGGCCTGGGGTGGCACTGCAGAGTGCCGGTTCGACGCCCAGGCTGTGGCGCTGGGAGGGCTCGGGGCTCTTTTTCGTGGGAAACCTTTGGACGGGCCTTTTCTTCGCTGCTGGTGGAAGTCAGGCTCGGGAAGTGCAGACTTGGCGGGGAGGGGCTCCCCGTGACTCTGTGCCTGCCAGAGACCCTCCCAGTGTGGCCCGGCCCGAGGAAGGCGCGTTCTTTCCCCGGGCCCACCCAGGCCCCAGGGCTGTGGCTTCTTCCCTGGGGCAGGGTGGTGGAGTGAGGGCTGGCACAGCGCTGCGGGCCCTGGCTGGTCACGTCCCGGTCGTGTCCCCGTCCCGTGTGTCATCATGATGCCCGTGAGCGCCCGGTGGGCGTCAGGGAGCAAGAAAAGCTGTTTGGGTCATTCACCTGCAAACCCAGCCTCCCCTCCTGGTAAATGACGCACTGCTTGTCTGCGGAAGTTTGAGTTCTTTTTCCTGCAAGCGAGGTGGTTTCTGCGGGCTGTGTTCTGTTCCCCGCCCGGGAGTGTGTGCGTGCGTTTGTGTGGGTGTGTGCGACACCTGTCGGAACTTAGATAGCTCCGTCTCCTTTGGGGTGGCGGTTGCCTGGTTGGTTGATTCTGTGCTGCTGGGGCGGGGACCCCGAGTCTTTGCACCAACTTACACTCTTACTTTGCGACGAGGTCTCCCTGAGACACCGAGTCACCCAGGCTGAGCTTGAACTTGCAGTCCTCCTGCCTCAGCCTCCCAGTGGCTGTCCCCTCATCAGACAGCCCTGTGTGTCTGTAGGGAAAGGGACTCAGGTTGGGTGGTCGGTCTGTCTTGTGCTCTGGAGCTGGGAGCTGGGGCTTCCAGAGGCTGCCGACACGGTGATAGGATTTCTGAGAACTTGTGACTTGCGTCACTGCTGTATTCTCAGCCGGTGGTGGCGAGCCTGCGGCACATGTGCCGCTCTGAAAGGTTCGCCACTGCCGGGCCGGACCATTCTTGACCCGTCTGCAAAGGCAGGAATCCGGGGTGGCAGTGCACACCTGTGATCCCAGCACTCCGGGAGGCTGAGGCAGGAGAATGGCAAGTTCAAGCCCAGCCTGGGTTTCTTACTGAGCAAGACAGGAAAAGGGCTGGGGATGTAGCTTCTTGCAGAGGCCCAGGTCCAACGCCCAGTACCACAAGGAGAAAAAACCAAAAGGCCAAGCGACAGCTCCAACGCCGCCGCAGAGACAGCTTCACATAGTGACTAGCGGGGAGGCGTGCCTGTGACGGAACCGGCTGTCCTTGCAGAGAACATAGAGCCCTACGTGTGCTACGAAATCCGCGTGTACGCGCTGTCGGGGGACCGAGGCGGGTGCGGCTGCGTCCTGGGCCACTCCAAGCACAGAGGTGAGCCGGGCCACGCCAGCGTCACTTTGGCCTGGCCCCGGGGTGGGTCGGGACTTGGCAGGTGACAGAGCCACCTGTGTCCTCTTCCCAGCACCGCTGAGCGGCCCCCACATCGAGGCCATCACGGAGACCCAGGGGCGCGTCCTGGTGTCGTGGAGCGGGGCCCAGGAGCAGGTGGGCTGCGTCCTGCGCCTCCGGATCTACTGGAGGGAACGGAACTCCAGCGCCCCGCCAGGTCTCCAAGGTACGTGCTGTCATTGCGGCATACCCATCGCTCCTCTGCCTGTTTATTTGTTTGGTCTTTTTGAGACAGGGTCTCCCTATGCAGTTCAGGCTGGCCTTGAGCTCACTTTGTAGCCCAGCCTTGTCTCGAATTCACAACGACTCTCCTGCCTCAGCCTCCCGAGTGCTGGGATTACAGGTGTGCACCACCAGACCCAGCCGCTATCTCTCCTTTGGAAGAAGCACAGCTCAGCGGGAGCTGCCCTTTATTCCCCTGGCAACCGTGTCACACTGAAGCTGCCGCAGGTCAGGACAGGTCCTGGGACCGACAACAGCCACTCGTGGTCATCAGGCCGACCTCAGCCCCCCTCTCCTCCTGGCCTGGCCACCTTGGCTTTCTGGGGGAGTGTTGGTCCCACAGAGCGGCTGCGTTTGCCCCTCCCGAGAGTGACCAGCTCCGAGGACTGAGGGAACTCAGGGACGAGCCGGCCTGCGGAGAGGGAGCCCGTCTCCCCTACCCTAGCAGCACAGCCAGGGGCACCACAGATGCCGTGTGAAACAGATTTGTGGAAGCTGGGTTCTGTGGCCTGTCTTCCCAGTTCTTCAGGAGGCTGAGGCAGGAGGGTTGCACAGGGCTCAAGGCCAGCCTGGGTTACATAGTGAGTTCAAGGTCAGCGTGAACTACACAGCAAGACCCTGTCTCAAAAATGAAAAGTTTTAAGGGATCTGTTGATGAACAAATGGGGCACCACAGCCAGACCCCCACTCAGCACCCCAGACCCCACAGCAGGTGCTCATTTCCGGTGCAGCACGGCTGCCCGTCCGGTGCCCTCAGCGCCCCCCCCCACTCGTCCCAGACGACACCACCTGTCCCATCATCACGCTGCCGGCACCCCTGAGCCACCTGCGGCAAGCGCACCCCTCCGGGCCGAGCTGCCCCATCCTCTCAGGCCAGAGGCCCAGTGGCGCAGGCCCGGTCTTTCCTGCCTGACCTCCCCGCTCCTCCTTGGCACGCCTCGGCCCGTCCTGCCATCTCGCTGCCCGCCCACGTGGACACGCGCCTGTGAGTGTGTCACACACCCAGCCACACGACGCCCCCTGCCCTGGACAGTGGCCCGGGTGCAGCAGCTCCCTAAGATGAGGGTCCTCGTCCCTGCCCGAGGACCAGGGAGAGGGCTCTGACCCTTGTCAGAGCAGGCGCAAGGCCTGAGTGCGTGGAAGCTCAGTGGGCCGAGGAGCCCGGGAAAGCCCCGCTGGACCCCTTCTCACTGCGACAGGAAACAGTAGTGGCCGTGACGGGCACAGCCGAGTGGCCGGGAGGGGTGGGGGCCGTCACGGGGTCCCTGCAGCCTGCACAAACAGGAAGCAGCTGTGGAAGGTGTGCCTCTCCCTACGGCGGGTGAACTCTTTGTTTGGTTTTTCAGATGAGGCTCAAGGTCAGCCAGGCCTACACAGTGAAGTCAAAGCCAGCTTGAACTGCAGAGCAACACCCTGCCTCAAAAAACTAAATAAATAACCCGGGCATGGTGGCGCATGCCTGTCATCCATCCCAGCACTCAGGAGGCTGAGGCAGGAGGATTGCTGTGAGTTCAAGGCCAACCTGCACTACATAGTGAGACCCTGTCTCAGAAAAACAACAAGTACATAGGTAGATGACTGACTGATACATTACCTGGTGCCTTAGGACTGTTTTGAATAGCAGTATGATTTCCACTTTCAATTAAATGAATCATCACAAAGTTAAAGCAAGTGAAAGCGGACATTGAACCGCTTCCTTGGAAGCCTGCCTTTCTTCCTGTCATTTCAGAGTTCGCCCCCGGACACACCCAGAGCCCCTACCCGCTCCCAGGCCTGCAGCGCGGGGTGACGTACGTGCTGTGGATGACCGCGCTGACGGCCGCCGGCGAGGGCCCCCGGGGAAACAAGTGGGAATTTCGCCTTCAGGGTGAGTGAGGGCCGGACCTGTGGCAGCAGCCGCCGCTCCGTCCTCCCCCGCACCACGTGCACCCCCGCAGGCCCTCTGCCTGGGGTCCCGAGCGGTCCCCTCTGCTGGGAGGCAGCGTTACCGTCCTCTCCGGGAGCCTAGCTGGCTCAGTGGCACACACCTATGGTCCCAGCACTTGGGAGGCTGAGGCAGGAAGCCTCAGCCTCGACTTTGCCTCGTCTTGACTTCGAGGCCAGCCTGGGCTACATAGCAAGACCCTGTCTCAGAAAAATAAAAAAATCCACGGGCCGGGGATAGAGCTCAGCGGCATAGCACCTGCCTGGCAGACACAAGGTCCTGAGTTCAATTCCCAGTAGCAAAAAAACAAAAACAAAGAAAAATAAAAAATCCAATGCACCCCCTTGTCTTGAGAGTCACACGAGGGCCCCTGCTGAGCTCCCCTCCAGGGGTGTGGACAGCGGTTGTTTATCCTCAAAGCCCAGCACCCAGCACTAGGACTTCTCACTGGGTTCCTGCTCAGAAAACCGGGAGACTCGACCAGCCGTACCAGAGCGAGGACGGTGTATCAGGTCATTGGTACACAGGAGCCTTCCTTCTGCAGGGCTTTGTGCAGTACCCGTGTGGCGGGGCTGCTGCAGGAAATTTCCATGAATTGGTGGCTTCAGGAGCATTTCCTGTCTTACAGTCTATTCCATGCATATGTATGTATTGTTTTATTTTCGAGACAGGGTCTTGCTGTAGCTTGAGCTGGCCTTGAATTCATGGCAGTCCTCCTGCCTCGGCCTCCCAAGTGTGGGGATTACAGGCATGCGCCACCGTAGCAGGCACCAAGTCTAATAGACACGAAGCCTTTCTGCAAACCCTGCTGAGCCCTGCGAGGCGGCTGCCATGCTTCTGTCTGCTCCCCGCGCTCGTGATCACCCGTCCCTGTGCCCAGCGTTACACTCACCCGTGGCGCGTGGTTTCCTGCTTACTCCTGGCGTCCGCGTCCTCCTCACCTTCGTGTCTCAGCGCCTGGCAGGGCCTGGCCGCTGGTTCGCACTTGGGAAATGGTGGCTGAATGAACGGAGTAGCCAACAACTCGGGCCGGGTTACATTGCCTCCCTCTAAAGGAAGAGGGCTGGCCCCGGCCAGTCACATTAGTAACTGCCTGTCAGATGGGCTCGTGGAAGAGCGTGGGCTCGGGGCTCCCATCCCTGGGCCCCGCTCCGGGCTCACGCAGCAGCACTGCTGTTGCAGGGACAGGCAGCTGGAGCACCGTGCTGGTCCCCAGCGCCTGCATGGCTGTCATCACCGTGGGCGTCTTCTCCACACGCTACTTCCGTCAAAAGTGAGTTGCCTTTTTGTTTGTTTGTCACAGGGTCTCCCTGTGTAGTCAAGACTGGCCTCAAACTCTGGGCAGTCCTGCCTCAGCCTCCCGAGCGCTGGGATTACAAATTATCTTTTAAAAACGAACATGCGCTGTCAGTGCCTTGGGTCAGGCAGGCAGGCACCCCTCGCAGAACTGAGGCAGGTTCTGTCAGGACAGTGCTGAGAAGGTGGAGCTTGAGTCACTGGGGCCACACACGCCCTTTCACGAAAATAGTGAACGGGGAGGACTAAATTGCTGTTTACAAAATAGAACAGCCGGGCGTGCGGTGCATACCTGTAGTCTCAGCACTCGGGAGGCTGAGGCAGGAGGATTGCCGTGCATTCAAGCCCAGCCTGGGCAACACAGTGAGTTCAAGGGCAGCCTGGGCTACAGAGTGAGACTCTGTCTCAAAATAGTATATTAAATTAAGTTTACAGAGAGCCCTTCCCAGTCCTCGTCGAAGCCCAGGCAGTTTGCATTTGTGATCCCATGAAAAGTCATTGGGATTCTAGCGAGTCAGTTCCAACCCACTTGCTGCCCACGGCAAGAATGAAGTCACTAAGACATACTGTAGTTAGGGGGAGCCGAGGGGTGCTCAGTCCAGCCACGAGGATGGCATCCGGAACAAAGGCCTCGACCCAGGGCCGAACCAGGTCTTATCATTCGTGAGGAAGGGGGTGGCCTGAGGATGAGTGACTGGGGGAAGCATGGGAAGTGGGAGAGTGCCGTGAGCTGGGCTGGGTGGGAGGCCTGAGATCAGCTCTGCAAAGGCAGAGGGAAGGGCCCGCAGAGAGAGTATCTGCATGACACACACGAGGTGGCATCTAATGTTTTGGGGCCGGTGCTTCAGCTCTCCTGTAATCTCCGAAGCCCCAGGAAGGCACAGCCTCTGTCCCAAGGCTGACCCCAGCGTGGAGCACTGGCTCACACATCCCGCCTCCTCCCGGTTCACTCCTGGGAACCACGGGCGCGGGGTGGTGGGGAGTGTCCCAGGAAACACGCCTGCCGTCTCCAAAGACCACCACCAGCGCCTCGGCTGGACCAGTGTGCACTGCTTAAAGCCAGTTGATGGGGTAAGGAAAAGACTCGGCCAGATCTGTGCCATCAGTACATGGACAGAGGGTCAGCTTCAGCCAAAATGGAGCCAACCGCGCCTCTTTCAAGGAGAGTTGCCCGGTGGTCCTCCACAGCAGTTAGTGACTCTTTCCACGCCATTTATATTTTGTGTCCCTGAGAGCCCAGGCCCTGCCCCTCCCCATCAGGTGGCACCGTGGCCTCGTGCTTAGAGGTCTCATCAGCGTGGCTGGCAGAGACGGTGGTCACTAGAGTCCTGGAGCCACACGCCCGGCGCTCTGTCGCCAGCAGGAGCCTTGGGAGGCGCTGCCTGGCCTGGAAGTGCACTGCCCCCTCCGTGGGAGCCTCCTGACCGTGTCCCACTTTGTCACTGCAGGGTGCTGTTTCTGCTCTCAGCCCTCCGGTCGCAGTGGTGCAGCCCAGGGATCCCGGACCCGGCGAACAGCACCTGGGCCAGGAGGTTCCTGCTGGAGGAGGTGAGGGCACTGGTAGCACCGAGCAGCAGCAGGGTTCCTGCCAGATCCCACAGCACCCATGACCTGGGGCCCCTGAGGCTTAGGACCAACCGGCTCCAGACAGAGGAAGCTGGATATGGGGGCACACGCTTGAAATTCTAGTACCTGGGAGGCTGAGGCAGGAGGATCACCCGAGTTCAGTGTCACCAGTTCCCCTCAAGGCACCTCTGGAGTTCTGGAGCCTTGGGTCACGAGCAGCTTCCAGGACAGCCAGCCCTCCGGGAAAAGCGTCTGTCAGGACTGGGCAGGCAGGGCCTCTCCCCTCCTCCCACAGCGGGGCAGTGTCAGCTACAGCCGGGCAAAGTTGGATCAGCGGGTGCCGAAGGCCGGAGGGGGCCGGCCCTCTTCTCTCCGCCGCCTCAGCCAGTGCTCTGTCTTGTGATACTGAGGATGGGGCCCAGGGCCTGCACCCCGAGCTGCTTCCCCAGCCCTTTCATTGTTTTATATTTTGAGACAAGAGCTTGCAGAATTTTCCAGGCTGGGCTTGAACTCCTCCTGCCTCAGCCTCCCAGACTGCTGGGATGACAGTCATGAGCCACCATACTGGGCTTCTCTGACCAATGCAGGCTTCCTCTTGCGGGGGGACCCCAGGGCCCGGCTGGGGTTGGGAGCCCTGGGGAGGCAGGTCACCGGGACCCCTGTACTGACCTCCAGCCGTGGCCTCTTCCTCTGCAGGAGAGGACGCCGCTGCCAGGGGACGGGACGCAGGTGGCTGTGTCCCCTCTGGAGGAGTCCGAGCCCCTGGTCATCAACGAGGTCCTGCATGGCCACCCCCGCTGGCCCGAGCAGGGACAGGGAGGCCGGGGCCCCTTGGTGTACACGGAGGACCCGGGGGGCAGAGGCTGCAGCCCGCCCCCCATGGGAGCCCTGTACAAGGTGCTGGGGGGCCGGGGTGGGGAGCCGGTGCAGGGGGTGCCACTCCCAGGCCCCGACGGCTACCTGCCCGCTGGCCCGGGGGATGTGGCCACCTGTGGGTCGCTGCTCGCTGAGCCCACAGAGGAGCCGGAGCCGCAGCGCGTCGCCCTGTCCGTCTTCACGACCGGCGCCCTGCACCCGCTCAGCGAGGCCTGCGGCCGGAGGCTGACTCTGGACCAGCTGAGGATGGGCTGTGGCTCTCCGCTGCTCTGAGCTGCAGGGCACGAGGAGTCCCGAGCAGCAAGGGCTGCAGAGGGCAGAGCCCAGCTCACCGCGCGGACCTCCCCGAGCGGGCTCGGCAGCCTTCGCCATGGTGACGAGATAGGCCGTGGGAACAAAGCCTGGAAGGTCACAGGTGGAGCAACGTGTCAGCAGCTAACTGCTGGCTTCAGACCTGCCACAGTCCTCCTGTCTCAGCCTCCCAAATGCTGGGGTTACAGGCAGCGTCATCGAGGTCAGCCACTGTCAGTCATTTCGTGGACGGGGCTGGGACTGAACCCAGGGCCTCACACAGGCGAGGCGAGTGCTCTCGCATCAGCTTGGTCCCGGCCGCGGCACAGCTCGTAAGCACCAGAGCAGCGGCAAACAGCCCGGCCCAGTGAAGGGGAGCCTGGCCCTCCTCGCCCATGGATGCCGCTGGCTGCAGAAGCTCCCGTTTCGGCGGGAAGGAAGGGGGCTGCACTCGTGGGGCTCGGCGGCCTGAGAGCCGTCACACGGCGCTGGCCCTCGCTCCGCCCGGCGGCTCCGTGCCCAGTCGCATCTCCTCACACGCACGCCGCGCACAGCCCGTGCCGCCTGTGCCCCCGCAGTCCCGTCCCTCGGCCTCGGCCTCGCCCCTGCCGCGGCTCTGAGGAAGTCCGCAGCGCACGCTTGGCAGTCTCAGGCCTCCCTTCCCAGTGCAGGTGCGCCCCCGGCCCGTGGGACCTCAGGGAGCGGGCGCTGCCGGGGCCCCGGGGTTCGGAGAATGAACTCAGCTCCGTGGCTGCGGCCCCTGGCCCTGGTTGAGCCCGGACAGAGCTGTGGTCGGCAGCGCCAGCCCCTTCCGGCCATCTGGCGACATCAGGCCTCCCCAAGGTTTAGGGGGCGCACAGGCCGTGTGCCCCGTTCTCAGTGCTGGGGAGGCCCCGCCCCCGGTTCCCCACCCGGGTCCCGTGCTCACCGGCCACCAGCTGCCCCTCTCCTGTTGATCTGCTTGTATGGATCGGGGCAACCAGCAAGGAGACAAGGTCAGCCAGCCGGCCCTCCAGCGGCAGAGCATCTTCTAGCCAGTTCCGACATTTTCTGTAAACCCACCTCGGTTCCTAGGGTCTGATGACCCTAAGTAGCAGGAGACTGATGGCTCTCAGCAAAGGCACGTCTGGCTGTCCCTTAACTGAGATGCGGTTCGCTTCTTCCGCCTCTGCCTCCCAAGTGCTGGGGTTACACGCGCCTAATTTAGACCTAAGTAAGGCCTTCATGAACACAAAGTGCACTAAAAAATGGGAACACGAGATGAAGCTGAAGCCCCATTCTGTTTTTACGGGCAGGGTCCTTACCCCTCCTCAATTTCAAGAAAACACCACACAAACCAGTTGCCTGTCTCTGTTTTTTTTTTTTTCCGGTACGGGGAGTCGAACTCAGGACCTTGCGCTTCCTAGGCAGGCGTTTGTGCCGATGAGCTATATCCCTGCTCCCTGCCAGTTGCCTGTCTCTGAACATTTCACCCATCGCAAAGGCCTGGGTGTTCAGCCCCGTAACGGGCACATCTGCTGGTGTCTGCGTTCCTTCCAGAACACCCCATCACCGAGTCCTTGACACACCCACACCTGTGACAAGTGTTTCCGGTGTGGCTGCCGGCAGCACCCTCCTTGCACACAGGTGTGAGGTGAGGGACACACAGTTCCCACGGTAACGCGGCCCACAGACGCACGATCCACTAGAACATGTAGTGCCAGGGACAAAGTCGTCAGCAGTCAGATGTCAAGAACCAGATCAGCTTGGACCATCTTCACCGTGTGAAAACCAGCACCAGTTCTTCAAGCTGAGAGATTTCCTTAAGGTCCTCAGATCCACCAGGGACCAGCTACAGTGATCAGGGTGACATGGGGTGACACACCAGCCCCACACAGCACTGTGTGCGGCCCACGCTGAGCTCAAGGACGACGCAGGAGCCATCCCACCACCAGGTGCGAAGCCCCGTAGGTGACCCAGAGCAGCCCCAGGCCCGGTGCACTTGTCTTCCTGTCGCAGAGCAGGACCAGCGCCCGCCCAGCCCGCTGGGGTGCAGCAAGGCCAGGGGTCATGATGGCACGGTGCGTGACACCCCAAAACCCAAGCATGCCCCTTGCGTGGGCCACTCCTCTCCCTTCCACTTGGAAGCGAGTCCCGGTTCCTTCCTATGAAAGCAGCAGCGGCACGAAAGCTACTTTCTGCCCACTGAAGGGCCTGGCACAGTTGTCTTCTCACCCAGGCAGGATGTACGCGATCCTCATCTCTCCAAAAAGCCAGCTTCACAGCCATGTGGGAAGTGCTAAAGAGCGCTGAGTATACGCAAGCTGCAAGCTACACTGTCGTTGAGAATATCCACTTTCCTAACAGGCAACCCCGTGGTGCCGCCCCTTTCTGGTAAGAAGGGAGTCTGATTACTCCACCGCGCCCTGGAGGCCGGGGGACTGAACGCAGGCCTACAGCTGAGCATTTTCACACAGGGAGACACTGACCCAGGGTGGCCGAGGCAGGGCACTGCATTCCATGCCCGTGTCCTTCCACCCCTCTAACACTGTGAAAGCCATGCTTAGCTCAGGGGTGGCCATGGGCAGGCCAGGTCACTCTACAGACACCTGGCTCCCACACACTGCACACCTCTCCACTCGCCCAGGCTGGCAGGGAATCTGTGATCTTCCTGCCTCAGCCTCCCAAGCAGCTGGATTACAGGTATGTGCCGCCACATGGGGCTTAGACCTGGCATCCCAGAGGGTGCTTCCCTCGTTAGTATCTCCACTCCTTCCTGAACTCAGGCTTCTGTACAGCTGTATCTTTGTTTCTGGACATTCTCGGATCTAGTAAATACCTCGTTTCAACCACTTCTCATAAACTCCCAAGTCTGAACACAACGAGATCAAGAGCAGCTTGGGTGGAAGACTCACCGAGAGGTAACCAGTACGGCCAAATACCCCTCACCGGAGACTGGCCACCTGGGTGGGGCATACACCCAGCTCCACGGTCCAGGTACAGCACGCAAAGCCCCAGGTTCAAGTCCCAGCACCACAAAAGACCACATGCAAGCCCAGGCACTGCCCCGAGGTACCCCAGGAGAAGGGGTGGGAGGGAGGGACACGGTTCGCTTGGCAAATGACCTTACTGTAACTTCTAGACCTCCCAATCAGGTATCACCTTACTGCCTGCTACTATACGTACCCTAAAACCACCTCTGCAGAGCACACACCGGTGCACACACTGGAAGTCAGTAAGAACCAAGGTGTACATCCTGGGAAATGGGCAGAAAATGCTCAAATGGGGAGGGGGAGGAGGGAAGACAAAATGGAAACACAGCTTTGTAAATGAGGGGAAGAGGACTGGAGGGGAGAGGGGGCAATAAAGACCACACAGGTACCAATTCGCTTATGATCGTTACACTGAAAATGTACCAACGAATTTTGAGTTCCTGGCTTTCCGTAACTTGGAAATGTGGGCTCTGACATACTTATCAATAACTGGGGCAGTCCGACCCCCAGCTTACCTTCACCAGGGCCTCTGGGGCTCCAGCAGCTCCCCATCTTTTTAAACCTCAGGAGCAGATTTCTCCCACCTGCTGGCCTCCCGTGTACAGTGCCACGCACAGTATTTAAACTCCTCTCGCGGTGCTGTCACCTCTAACAATTAGAAAAGTAGTACGGAGGGACACCCCCCACCCGTGCTTCCACTGTGCAGAGAACCAGGTGATGAGCCGTGCAGGTCTGTGTGCATCCCAGCCCCCCACCCCGCGGCTCCCACAGCCCCCCGCGGTCAGGGAGCAGCTTCCAGCCAGCGGCCCAGACCTGGCTCCCAGGGATGGCGCTGTCCGCCCTTAGAGCTGTTTACCTGAACTTTACATTGTTTTAGCTGCTGTTAAGACAAGGGTCGTTCCCCAATTTTGATAACCTGGTTTATCAAATAAAAACCTCACAGAAAATTGCAAACATTACACTTTTTAAAAATGAAGTAATACCTTGGAGTACAGAGGTTAAAAACCAGGACACACGTGATAATCCAGGGGCTCCTATTTGATTGCTCTTATGACTTTTGCGAAGTGACCATGAAAATAAACCTTTATTTTCCGTTATTACCCAAGGAGAAAGGTTCACAGTTTTAGCTCTTGATACAAAGTCAACTAGGAGGCAAATTCACATCCATCACACACAACTAACGGACCAGCTTCTCAGGTGCAGCCGTCCCGGAAGCTTGCGACATCCGCAGGACTGCTGCGCTCCTGGCGACACGGCTGACAGCAAGGACAGTTTGCCAGGTGTTTCTAATAGCGAGTGTTTCTCTAGTGTGTTGCGGTTTCTACTCCCGTTCCGGGCTGCGTCCCTGGGAGGTGACAGGCAGGCTGAGTGCCAACTGTACCTCAGAAGGCCGCCGGTCCCAGAGACGGACTCGGGAATACTGTGCTCGTCTCGGGGCTGCAGGGACGTTTGTAACTAGCAACGATACTCAGCAGTAGCACCAGTGCAGAACGTGCTCAGGCCGGAGATCCAGACACCAGCGCGAGTTTGCCCTCACCCAGAGCCACCCCCCCTCCCCAGGTGACCACAGCTGACCCGGTGTGGCGCTCCAGGACTGATGGCTCTCAGAAGCACACGGAAGCATACGCTCTCAGAAGCGGCTAAGTAGCAGGTGTGTTTAAGATTAAGATAGCTGCTCTCTTCTAAAATTGGAAATTACCAGAGGTAGAACATTTCTGACAGTTCAATGGCAGAAGTTTTGAAACTTTTTAAACAGAACTCCTTCCCCCAGGTAACCAATGATTGTGGCAGGATGAAAACAACTCCTCGCAACCCTGTTCAATGACGCTTCCGCCATGGTTTTTTACTGGGGAAGATGGGGGACAGGAATAGCTCCTGGGACAGGGCGGGTCCCCAGTGGGTTGCCCGCCATGGACACTTCAGTAAGGGGTACTGCTCCCAGCGCGGGACCCAGGTGACCCCATGCCCTAGGTAAGGAAGAAGGGAAGGGAATTATCACCTTCTGTGGAACAAACATCAACTGAAGACCAATCAGTAACAAAGTAGGAAATCCATGAAGAGTAAATTTTGGCTTGTATTTTACGGATGGCGCCGCTGTTCCACCTTGTGAGTAAAGCAGGCCGCTGTCCAAATGCCAGAACCCCGAACACATGCTGCCTCGCCCACGGCCCAGGGCCCTTTGGTCTCCTCAGAACAAGGGTGAAGGGTTGCTAACTACAGATTTACCTTCTGATCGGGGGCCCTTCCACACACAAACCCTACCCGGGCCGGACACTGCACAGACGCGGAAATGCTCCGCACTCGCCAGGCGGAGCACTCCACCCGCCGCACTGGAGGGGAGACCCGCACCGCAGGACGAGTTCACCACACAGGATGCGTCCACAGCAGGAAGCAGCTCGAACAGCTTCTACCAATAAAGTGTCTAGTTTGGCTTTTAAGGTGGGAAAGTCACACATTTTGAAGTAAATATAGTTGAGCTTGTCAATCAGGTATAATTTGAACCTAAGGAACCATGCAGGAGAGCGAAGGTTAATAAACCAATGTGCTTTGAATTTGTTCAAGTACTGATATTTCTGTATATAAAGATTTAGCATATATAACAGCTATCATGAGAAGTGAAAAAAGACTTTTCCCCAAAAATGAAAGTATTAAAACTAAGTTAAAATACATAAAATAGTTAGTATTCCACACAGCGTAAAACCTGACAAATCAAAGCTTACAAGTCCCAGTTGACCATGTGTGAAAATGCAAAGCTGGTTTTAAAACCAATAGTAGGTCCAATATTTAAAACCAGTCTGTAATTGGGGGACACCTACATCCTTAATTAAAAACACAAATGAAGTGAAAGCTTTTAAACTGGTACACACTGTCCACACCTGTATTTCAAGTTTGGAAATGCATATATGCAAGCAGCAATACAAAAGTATTCATGAAGAATGCGTAATCTCTGAAAATTATGAAAACATCCCTGCTACCAATACATTTCTAAATACAAAACTGACTACCATATTTGTTAACTTCTGTGTAGCGAGAGAAGTTCATTTTCAAAACAGATAAAATTCAGTCTTTAGGTGTGAATGGTATGAATGACAGTCTTTTTTTTTTTCCTTTTTAAAATTTCTTAGTTGTTTGGGATCCTTAAGCATGCACAGAGCTTTGAACAAGAGGGTCCGCCGAGGAACAGGCTTCTCTGGGCGTCCAGTTAGGCCAGCGCTGGGAAGGCCTCCGGGTCGTCCACATCTGGGGCAGAAGCGCTCGACTGGAAAAGAAGCAAAGCAGCATGAGCTGGCTGTAGGAGCCTGGACACACCGCTGCCGGGGCTTCCACCGAGGACACCTGAGGTGAACACTGAGGGCACGCGGCAAAGCTTTCGCGCAAAAGGCAGAGCTACGACGCCGAACACAACTACGATTCCTACCAGTGTGGTCCTCCTCCTCCGCATCCAGTTCCCTAGTAATACCACGGGCGGTCTTATTTTCAATAAACCACAGGGGTACCTTCCCGTGGGATTTTTACTGTTATTTAGTAGTTGTACACTTTTCTCCACTTCAAAATAATAGCATCCGTGTGGAAGCAGTCTGAGACAACCAAAAAAGTATTGTCAGACAAAGGTTTAACTGCTATTGAAGGCACCAGTACATGTAACGAGATTAAAACAATGTACCGAAAAGGCCTTTAAGTCAAGAAGGAACAAAACCGCACGCAGTCACTGCTGACAATAAAACCTGTAGTGCCACTGTCATTACAACCAACCACTGACAGATCTGATCACGGTGTCCAGCATTTAGGAGGACATTACGGTCATTCACAAGATGGACTGCTACAGAAAGTTATCTCATACCCTGGCATCAAACAGGCTCAAGTTCAAGTTCATCCATCCCTGGGCATCTACTGAAATGTTTCCTCAGAGCGGAGCATGTGGTACGTGCCTGCAACCCCAGTGCTCAGGAGGCTGAGGCAAGAGAACTGCTGTGACTCTGCAATCAGGCCTACTCAGGGCTACAGTGAATTCAGGGGCAGCCTGAACTACAAAAGGCGTAATACGAATAAAACCCCAACAAACCAAGTGAATATTCGAGTAGGGACTTGTGTGCAAGGCACTAGGGACAGAAACTGGGGCAAAATAAATCCACCTCTCATAAGTTTAGTAAAAAATAAAACAACAAAAAGGTCCAAAAAAAATGTAAAAAAGGTCTCATAACCGTGTGTCACAGTGACTTCCGCAATGGACACGAAGGTGCTGTGGAGCCGAAACGCCGAAGGCGGCGGGGAATCCCCTCGGCACCGTGAGCAGGCTGCGTCTCCAGCAAACCCCGGCGCATGCCGAGACAGAACTGGACTCCCTGCTCCTGACTTTCCTCCTCCGCACATGAACTGAAGCAGTCTCCTGCAAGATGGGTCCAACCCAGCAGAGCTGCACTACCCAGCTACATCGCTGTCCCTGCCCCGTCATTATTCTGAAACATGACTTTGCTAAATCAGTCGTGAAAACCTGAACTTGGGATCCTCCTGCCTCAGCCTCCCCAAGTGCAAGGATTAAGGCACATGCCACTGTGTCCAGCTTAAAATTCAGTTTCTTAAAGGCAGGTATGTCTTTTTCTACTTCTACTTCTTAAGTTCCACAGAGAACCCCAATCTGCGGAAAGAGTCTTGGAATTATCTAAAGGGGCAAAGAGCTTTCCAAGTAGTCAGCCAGGCGTGGTGGCACACGCCTGTAATCTCAGCACTCGGGAGGCTGAGGCAGGAGAATCGTTGCGAGTTCGAGACCAGCGTGGGTTACAAAGTGAGCTCAAGGTCAGCCTGAACTGCAGAGCGAGACCCTTCTCAAAAACACCAAAAAAAGGGGCTGGGGATTTAGCTCAGCGGCAAAAGCGTCTGCCTGGCAAGTGCAAGGTCGTGAGTTCGGTTCCCAGTACCGGAGAAAAACCAAAAAAACAAACAAACAAACAAAAAAAAACACCAAAAAAAACCCAAAAAACAAAAAACAAGTACCTTGTCAGTCCTGCTGCCGCGATTTGGACGCCCTCCACGCCCACGTCCACCTCGCCCTCCCCTGCCACCCCGTCCCGGGCGGCCGAGGTCTCCAAAGTTGATCTCCAGCTGAGATGTGATATCGTTTGCGGGCTTCCGGAAGTGATGGTCCATCACGGAGTCTTCGGCATGAGCCTGGAAGGTCAACACAAGCCATCAGGGGACAGACAGCAACAAGTCTGCCCGTAGAAACCACCGACTGCCCAACTGTCTGTGAATAAGCACACCCACTGCCTCACAGGTAACTGGCGAGGGTCAGCGTGGGTCGTCTACCTCACTGCACCCCAGTTCTACTCTTCACCGTCTCCAACCTCTCCGAGCTGCACACGACACTGGCCATCCTCCGTGAAAGGCGCCAGTCAGTCCCAGAGCCAAGCAAGTTGCTGCAAACGCTCCAAACCCTGGAACGCTTCAAGCCCAAGCATTTCCCATAGATATCCAGGTTGCACTGTTCTGCATAAACTGGAGAGCCACATAGTCACGTCAAACCCAGAGACTTTCCACTGGAGGGGCTCTCAAAGAGCTGCGCAGGCCGCGCAGCGGGCAGCCTGGAGGGGCCTACACAGCGGGTGAGACTCGGGAGCACGATCTTCTGTGGGAGTCACGCACTGTCTGCCTGGGAGAGGCGTTACAGGAGTGCCCGCCTGATTTCTTGGTCCGTCTGGTAAAACTCTGCTTACTTTAAAAAGTGAACTTTCCCTCTTCCCACATCATGTGGAGCCCCTCTTCTGAAGGGATACAGAATACTTCGTTGTATCGACGATGACCCTTTCGAAGCACACGTCTGTCTGATGACCACCCTCCCCTTCATCTGAAGCCCAAAATTAATTCTCTTTGTGCTATGCCAAACTCAAAAGCAGCAGCAGATTCTATTATTTTACAGAAACCTGAAATACACACAAAACCTCTAGCAAAGCTAAGGATTATTCCGCCATCTCTTTAAATGCTTGCTATTTCCAAGCAATGACATTAATGCGTAAGTTAGGTCTGAGTAACGTTCTGAGCTGACATGCCACCACACCTGGAGGCTTTGCTGCGATCACAAAGTCCAGGTGTTCAAGGAACATTCCTCATCTTTCGGCAACTACTGAACACACAGCTCTCCGTGCCCCTGCGGGTGCTGATGAGGGGCAGGAGGTCCGATCCCAGCTGGCACTAACACAGTAACCGGGTCCCCACTTCTGAAGGTCATTCTTCTTTCCTGAGCACCCCCAATCCGCCTCAAAGGCACGTTAAAATGCCACACACAACACACCCAAAAGCCTCAATACGTATGAGCAAGGCCGCCCGACCGCAACAAGTCTGTCACGCATGAGCCGTGAGGCCCACACCCCAGCGCCCTGATGATAAAGTGCTCCACTCCAAAGCTGCTCAGAATCCACTCCATACTTTCTAATTTGCAAAAAGGTCTACTCATGTATCTACCACGTGTAACACGAAGTCTGCCCCTTTATCTACAGGGGATTCATCCCAAGACACCCCACACTGGGATTACTTGACAGCAGACAGGACCAAATCCTGCGTGTGCACGATGCCTCTTCCTACACCAGGGTAAGGAGAGACGACAGGGCAGGAGGCACACACCGCAGAAACACACCGCACAAACGGACCAACGCACACCCTGCAGGCACAGAGCAGGACGGCGTGAGCCTCCATCACACTATTCCAAGTTTTGTGCACTGTGTATTTTGATAGCAGTACGAATTAGGTGAAACTACCATTTCATGTTTTTTAACCACAAAAATAGCAACCGAAAGTGCAGAAAATGAAACTGCGGTCAAGGGGATACTAGTGTGTTTATTTCCAAAAACCTCCATGTAAAATAAAACCCAGTGTCTACCAAATGCATGAAGAGAATTCCGGGTGTCAGTGAATCCCTCAATTACAACTACAATTCCACGGGCAAGTGCAGCTGGAGCCCAAGGAAGTTACAGAATTACTGCCTCAAAGGAGTCTGCAAATCACTCTCACATTAACCCAGGGAGTTCAGTAACTTCAAATGCACACCCTCCCCAACACGAACGTTCCTGGCTCCTGAGCCAGGGTTCCACAGTCATTCTCACACACAGCTTGACACGCAAAAGCTGAAGGAAAAATGAAAACACCAAGGACTCCAACAAAAAAAAGTTCTTCATTCTACCACATTCGACATTTAAGACAAATGTCCCCTTTACTATTTTTAGAGAGTAAATGTTAAAAATCATCTTTTCTAAACTCAGAAAAACCTTCAGGTCTCAATCTCAATTTCAGTTGTCTAAGTTGGTCCCAGGGCCACTTTTGCTTGGTAAACGCAGACACAAAGATCTTGCCAGGGGCTGCGTGCGTAGCTTGGCAGCAGAGCACGTGCTTGGCAAGCCCGAGGCCCTGGATTCAACCCCCAGTGCCAGAAGTAAATCCTACCCGATGTTTTCATTACAGGATGCCTTCTTCCCGTGTTAGTCAGTCTCCGTGTTTCCCAAGTGAAGGAAACGCGTAGGTTAACTGGCGGGTGTCACCGAGATCACCGAGGCCGGCATCAAGACAGCCCCGGTGAAGAGGGTGAAGAGCACAGGGCTGCGCCGCCCGTCACACCCTCACGGTGGTGCGCGCAGCCGGTTCCAAAGGCAGACGCTACCTGGAGCCAGCTTTACTTAAGCTTAAATCATACAAAAAACGAACGTTTTAATCTAACACAGTAATTTTCAATGGCTCCCAGTAAGGCTAAGGTTTTTAAAAATATAACCACACCTTTAAGGAAAAGGACCATTTTGCTAGAAACTGGTATGACAGGCCACTGACTGAGTTATTCAAGAAAAGGAAACCTACCACATTGAACGTAACTGTGGGCTAATCAAAGGATAAAATTTCTCACCATATACAGTAACAGTTACTGTCCTTTTAAAATTACTTGTCTCACATGATTCTATGTAAAGCGTTTTTCCCACAGTGGTGGTGGTACTGGTGGCCAAATCCGGGACCTTCGTAAAGAGCAACACCCTGAGTCCTTTTTTGAGACAGAATCTTGCTAATTTCTTCCAGGCTGGACTCAAACTTGCAATCCTCCTGCCTCAGCTTCCCAGGGCCCTGGGATTACAGGTGTGCTCCACCATGTCTAAGCTTTATTTTTAAATAAAAAGTATAACCATATCAAATTCAAAGGAAGAATTATGAGCAATATTCAACCCATATCCAAACATTTTCCAGCACCATAAATCTTAGTTTTACCTCCTCGCTCTTTGATTTATGAAGAACAAATCCCTTCTTCCACTGCCCATCAGCACCTTCATTTGGTTTCCGGATATTGAATTCTACTTTCGCCCGGTCTTTATTTTGGATCGCCTTCCACTCATCCAAAGTCATCTCTTTTGGACCCTCTTCCTTAACCTCTTCCACTTCGTTCTCTCTGTGAAAAGATGTTTAATGTTAAACCTGGTAAAACGGCTGCTGTAATTTACATAAAAACATTTCACACTGACGATAAGCAACTTAATTTTGGCTGGTTCATAATCTTTGAGGACGATGATTATCCAAGAATGGGTTGTCAGGTTTCTGTGGCACCAAAAGGCTACGTGTAACATGGTGGACCCAGGTCAGTGGCTGCTCACCGAAGTTTGGACGAATGAAGAATATACAACTGTAACCGCAAAGCTGAAGGAATGGTCACGCATCAGTCAGACAAACTTGAGTCGGCATTACTAGCCATTCACACTGCTTTGGAAACACCCCAAGCCCGTGCGATCCTCTCCTTTACCCCGACAGCTCCCCACAACCCGCAGTCACGCTGTGAGGGAAACCACCAGGGCGCCTAGAGAGCCGGCGGCCCACTCCACTCCTACTCCAACCACCTGCACTTAAGGAAAGGCAAAAAACAACCCAGTCTCTACAGATTCGAAAACCCAGCTTTCAGAACACCCTGCACTGACGCTTCACTAATAATCAAACTGCCTGTCAGACTTACTGGCCTCACTACTCAATACAAGTTACTTTAAAATATGGCTGTCAGGTTTTAACTAGTTACCTTTTCTTCAACAGAAGCAAAGCACAGGCCCAGGAAGCCGTTATTTTGGTCTAATCTCAACTTCCAATTGTCACCAAACAAGTCCCTTACTATTCTGGGAGCCCTGCTTGTTTCCAAAGATAGCAAAGGATTTAGTTAGCCTGGAGACTCAAATATCCCCCTCGCTGCTGGCCTTTATTGTCTGACAAACTATCTTACAACTTCCTAGAGCAGGTTTAACTTGGGATCTTAGGTGCGGCATCCAACCTTGCTGGCTCACAGATAAACGGCAGGCTCCAAAACTGGTCCTATCAACCTGTCAGCAGCAATACGCAAGGAAGCCCAGAACTTCGCTTACCGCTGGTCACATCAAGAAGCCATGCACCTGGGTCAAACTGGAACGAAACAGGAGCTCTAGAAACCAGGACAGAAACTGTACTTCTCACATTAAATGAGATGCAACAGCACGCTCAGAGTCGCCTGACTCTGGCCGGGGCTCCTCCACTGTGATCAGTGTTCACTTCTTTAGGCCAGTTATCCCCAGTCTCATTCCTGGGTCTTTAGCTAAGGATCTGCCTCCAACCCTTATCAATGCCACTCTTCCTGGTAAACAGTTTCAATCTTTGCAGGTCATCCTGAAACTGATTCCAACGAGGCTGTTCCTAATGAGTAATTAAGTATCGTGAGATACTTCATGTTACATGGGGCTCCTCCAACTTAATTACAGTTTCACTGCTTACTACACAAAATTATGACTGCGCAGAGCTTCATGTAAGTGAATTTCTATTAACCAAGTACACAGTACCGCTTCCTCATGAATCTACTTCCTCCACCCGTGAGTGGCCCTTCCCTGTGCCAACCTGCCAGCTCAGGGGATGATGCTCCCCCACTGGCAGTGCTTCCCTCTAATAGCAGTAACTCCTCCCTCCCTGACTGGACAGTCTGATCGAAGACTCACCGCCGCACCTGTAGAGACATGGCGCAGCAGACAGGACAGAGAACTCAGACACAGCTTTTCTACAAAGATGTAAGAACATACACTAGAGAACAGGCAGCCTCTTTGATAAACAGTGCTGGAAATACTGGACATTCCTGTGAAAGAGACTGAAACTTGATCCCTATCTCTACACAAAAACTCACTCGATAAGGGACCTAACTCAAAGAAATGCTTCAGGGGACTGCTCTAGCAAAGGTTTTTGATTATAACAACAAACGCAAAAATAGACAAATGGGGTTAAATCCAGTAAGGAACTAACAGACTTGCATAAGGAATTCAAAACTCAATAGTGAAAAAAAGTTCCACTCAAAATGGGTAAATAAATTCAAAACTCGCCAGGTGTGGTGGCGCACACCTGTAATCCCAGCACTCGGAAGGCTGAGGCAAGAGGACTGTTGCGAGTTTGAGGCCAGCCTGGGCTACAAAGTGAGCTCAAGGTCAGCCTGAACTGCACATCGAGACCCTGTCTCGAAAAGACCAAAAATAAATAAATAAATAAATAAATAAATAATCAAAACTCATTTCCCCAAAGACTTAATAATGACTGACAAATATATGAAAATGTACTTAGCATCCCTGAAGCAAAGCAAAACTCAAAACCATGGTAAGATACGGTCTCACCCTAGTACAGCGATTATCAAACGCAAAATAACAAATGCTGGCAAGCATGCAGAGGGCAGCTCTCATGCACTGCTGGGAAGGTGATTAGTACATCATGGAAACAGTACGGAAGTTCCTCAGAACAAGAAGCACTGGAGCCAGACGCGTGCGTGTGCCAGGCTGCACACACAGGTCCCAAGATCGAGGCCAACCTGGATTACTTAGCAAGACTGTTTCACAATCAAAAAGGGCTGGGGATGTAGCTCAGTGACAGTGCCCTGGGTTCAATTCCCTGTACCGAGAGGCAAAGCAAAGCAAAACACCAGGAACATAACCGCCTCAAACTAGGAATGAACCAGCACAGGAATTAGTCCCGCAACAGCCAAGACAGAGGCAGTCCCCATGCCCACGTCAGAAGAATGGGGATGGAGAACACAGCCTGTACACAACGACTCCACCCAGCCGTAGAAAAGCGCTTTTTACCACAACACCGCCAGAACTGGAGGATGTTCTGTGACACACCAGGCACAAAAACACAAATACCAAATGCTCTCACTTCTACACGGACGCTAGAAAACGTCACTTCAGGACCCAAGGAGGGCGCCCCCCAGATGGGGAGGGCGAGCAGAGGGAGAGGAGGCGGCCGGCAGGCGCAGGGTCCCGTGCAAGGTCTTGACCCTCTACACCACAGCAAGGTAACTCAGGTTGGCAACCATTAAAACCGCCGCCATAGGTGGGCATGGTAGTGCAAGCCTGTAATTCTAGCACTCAGGAGGCTGAGGCAGAAGGATCTTTGCGAGCTCGAGACCAGCCTGAACTGCAATAGCAAGACCCTATTTCAAAACGATTTTAAAAAAAAAGAAAAAAAGCTGCCCTATACCAGCTGAATCCAAGACTTGACACCGCAATACTGGAACAAATGCCTGGCTTGCAGCTTCTATCTGGGTTGTTCCCCTTCAGGAGGCACTAAATTTTTCTTACTAGGCTGGCTTTTGTTTCTGTCCAGACAATCTTGTAGCGTAGGGGGCCACAAACTCAATCACAGGCCTGGGTCCCCATGCTCAGCTTGACTTTAATCTTTAGAAGTCTTACTCTTGAAAAAATAAACTTCAAGACCAAGACTTCAATCTGAACTCAGGAAACAAACACTAAGAAAACTAGCAAGCTAGCAGCAGTCTCATCTTTGCTCTTTACTCATTTTAAAGCAGACTATACGCAGATCACCTCTGCTGAGAGAACAAGCTAGAGAAGAAGCTAATTTTAAAGTAGCCCATCTCCCAGCTCTGTTTAGTTTTACGTGAAACTTTGAAACATCTGCACTCCTCTGAGCTAGGAAGGGTTACAAGTACTTCTCATCCCAACACATTGCCCGGTCGGGAAGAGCCAACCTTCGGCTCTGACTCCCTCGGCCAGGCTGCCCGCACACCGCCCCCAGCCAGCCAGGGCCGGGACTGGAGCCCCTCGCTCCTGCACACTGGCCGCCCGGCCTTTTGGGAGGACGACAGGCGGATGGCTGTCCAGCACAGCAGCACCTGCGGGAGCCCTTTTCAGATCCTCAGGCAGCGAGCGCCCTCTCCCGCCCTTGGCTGCACACACTCCGCGCCACTTACTTATTCTCAGTGTCTGCCACGGGGCGCTCTTCACCTTCAGGTGTCTCCTCAGCCACGTTTGACTGATCCAGGTCACTGCAATTATAAGATATTGGTTTCTGAATGTACCTGGGGGACTCTCTAAGGAGAGAAAGGAAAAGAAAGGCATCGAGGTCCATTTACATGTAGCTCAACAGGTCTTCACACAACAATATCAGCCTCCACATTCCTAAGTTTCCCCAGTGGCTTTGCTTCCCACAGACCGCTAAGAGAAAACAGTACACTGTAAACTACCGGCCAGCTCATTCACATGCTTTTAAGACAAAGGCTCTGGCCTCTCAAACTCCGTAAAGACTAGAATGCAACAGCTACGGCAGGAACAACACAAGACACACAGGTGTCAGAACAGCCAAAGGACTTCGGCGTAGGATTTCACAACCGCCCCTGCTTTTCCCCCCGTGAGAACTTTACTGACACACATGGAGTACAGAAAAGCTGCTCATCTGACACCCCGCCCCGCAGAACAGCAGCTCCATTCTCCACCCCGGGACAAAACTACACATAGGAAAGGGGGAGTCTCTACTAAGGTCTAGTATCAATTTACTAAAATTATTGATTGTAAAAAATCAGAATACCAACGTTAATTCATCTTTGACAGTTCCCCAGTTGTGAGATCCGCTACCTCCTCGCTTGTCCTCGTGCTTCAGGCCACTGTAATGTGAAAAAGAACTAACAAAACTGAGTTAACATAATACTCTGGTTCTAGAAACTCGAATTTTGCTTATTAAGTAAGTGCATTAAAGTGTAAAACGTAGTAATTGCCATATTAAGACTTACGATCTATCGCTGCCGCTATGCCTATCAAATTCACGCTTGCCACGAGCATCAAACCCATCTCCTCGACTCATGCCACGGCCACGGCCACCTCGCCCTCTTCCAAGGCCACCACGTCCTCGGATAGGTCGGTCGATAATGGGTCTGCAACACAAAATCTTAAGATTATACCTCCAGGGTTTGCAGAAAAAGGAATAGGAAGAACTCACACGCAAAGGCTCACAAACAGGCGACATGTTTATTAGCTCATAATCCAACAGTCATGTGTACTTTAGAGAATTCACGTCCACTTCTAAACACAGGAAACCAGAGTGAGAGAAGTATTTTGGCATTCTTGAAAACACTGGTACTAGTGCACACGTTTTTTCATTGTTACATGTTGTACTGGAATCCAAAACTGCTGTTCATCAACACAATTAAAATTAACACGTCTAAGCCGCACACTAAGGAATTCACTGTGCTTTAAAAAGCTGTCCCAGCGTACTGGCCTTTTAATTCAACATCCGGGGAGAGCAAGGGAAAGAAACTGGCTACCAGTAACTGAAATGGTGCATGACCAGGGCTCTAGGTCTGAACTGATTGTGAAAGGCCTAAGGGAGACATGCTTAGACTTTTCTCTTCAGAGGCGCGAAGTGATCAGTCACCCCACTACCTGGTAATGACCCCCGATTCACAGCTCTCTGTTAAGACGTAAGTACAGGAGTTGGGGATGTGGCTCAGCGGAAGAGCCTTGTCTTGTGTGCACAAAGCCCTGCCTTCCATGCCCAGCACACACACAAGAAGATGCAACTATAAACTGATGCAACAGATAAAAAAGAAAAAACCTTACCTATCAACTGAAAATTCTCCTCCTTCACCCTTTTCTTCAAGTGGTTTTTCAAATCTTCTTTCTCGAGGCGGTCGCCGCTCCGGTCTCCTATCAATTATTTTCCCTTCCCCCTGAAGTTGTTGATCAGGTCTTCTTCCAACACGTCTTATGCCTAAAACGATAAGCACCTGCATAAGCAAATCATGTTTATGTTTGCAAATACAAAAGTTTAGGCCTAGACTATTAAAAAGGCAAACACTGGGCAATCAGTATGTGTCTAAATAAAAAGTTCTTTAGAGCAATTCCAATTTTAAGGCAAATTTATTTTAAACTCATCTGTAGCTTGCCAAGCCACCCCTCCACCTTCCACACTCCAGCACTCCCTTGAACTACTTGGACACCATCCTGGCAGCCATTCTCAATTTTCAAGATGTCTCTTGGTACAGAAGCGGATATATGCACACATATGCACATCCATGCAGACTTCCACACCCCACTTAGAAAAATTACTGTCTTACATAGGAAACATTTATGACTCTCTTTTTTAAGGTTTGCACTTCAGAGTACTGTGTCTTCATGAAATGTTTAAAAATTACCTACAACACAAAGACCCTCTTTAAGCAACAGCTAAGAAATGGAGGACATAAAGTGTACCTCAGTGGCAGAGCACATGTTAGTATGAGCAAGGCCCTGGCCTGGGTTTAACCCAAGCAAAGAATAAAATGGGAGTGGCACTAAGTGATGGGTGAAACATTCGATTCCTCCCCTTACATTCTTCCTGTTAACATCTTGAAAATCACAAAAACCACCAATATGAATTATTTGTGTTGTTAGAACTAAGCAGACTGATGGTTAAACACACAACTGAGATTTCAGGTGAGCTGTAATTCCTTTAGCTCTGGATCTTTAAAAGTAGGGAAAATGGTTTTATGAGATCTTAAATTATTCCATTCTGCTTTCTAAGAAACGGGAACACCACCAGGACACACCCACTGCTCACAGCCCCATCAGGGGAGCCACATAGTAAGTATCAACCTCTCTGATAAGTTTTAAGGTTCAGTCACTGCAAATCCTCAGGACAGACCACAAATGTAGACCTTCACCAAGCCACTTAAATAAATTTCATCACAGGCATTGTGTATGTATTGGGTGGAGCTATGTATGGAGCCTGTAATGATGTCCAAGCCAAACACACCCATGTGAACAAGGGCTGGCCTCCCCACCCAGTACTCAACACAAGGCCTGCAGAATCGAAGCTCATCCCGGGGCTGAGCCCCACGGGTAGAGCACTTGTCCGGCATGCAAGGTCCTGAGCTCGATTTCCACATGCCCAAAAATAAACTCAGGTAAGGAAAAATGGCACTTTTAAAAAATGCGAGCATCTTCTGATATACTTAACTTCACCTGCAAGCTAACTGTATTAATCCTAGGCTTTATTTCAAAAAACAAAACCATAACCTAGACTGTATCCAGTAATACCCTACATAGTGTCAACTCTCAAGTTCTTCAAGTACACAAGAAAGGTCCGGATTAAGGTAAACATTAAACACCTATCTAAAGTCTGTCCAAAATCCTAACAGCAGCAGCAATAATAAAGTATGCCCAGCACTGCGCCCGCAGTGTGAATGTGCATGCCCGTCACCCAAGGCACGAAACACAGGGTCAGGGAGGCAGGGGCTTTGCTGCAGGTCCGCTCCCTCGGAACGCGCGCCAGGCTGACAGGCGCCGAGCTCCCCAAGCGCGCACCGCCTCTCACCCACCTTCCCGGACGCCCAGAGCCTGCGCTTCCCGCAACCCCGGGCTAAGGGCGCTCCGAAACACAAATTAAAGCGCTGACAGCCACGGCAGAGCCCGTAACTTCCCCGAGGCAAGGAGCACTTCGCGGCGACCCTGCTAGAAACTTTTGGAAGAGCCGCTAGGGCGGACCCTCGCAGGCCGGTCCCCAGGAGGAGCTCCCGCGCGGGCAGGCTTCTCGACCACGGCAGCCGGGGGCTCACCGTGCCCGCGCCGAGCGCTCGGGACGGGGGCACGGCCACGCTCCCGCTTCTGAAGCCAGTGCGGCCGGGAGGGCCAACCCGGGCCAAGTCCGGGGGGC